CCCCCCGATCTCATACCGACCTTCACCAGGTTCCTCCATCACAGTCCTCTGGTACCGGTGTGTATGGGGAATGACCTTCCCTCCCCTTCCAATCACCAGGCCTGAATGCTGTGACCTGGGGGAAGGCAGCCATTAATGTGTTTTAGGGGAACAGTAGGGAAGTGTATGATGGGGGTAGTTGTGCTTTTTAAGAGAACCTGAAACTTTGCTCTGAATATGCAGATTTGGGGAGTTTGGGAAATAGATGGACAGCAGAGAAAAGGAGGGAGCGTGTCCTGAATTGGGCTCTGGAGGGCCAACTGGTCAGCTTGAGCCACGGCAATTGCTCAATGGAAGAAACTGTGAAAATGGCAAAGTGCACTTATCCTTCTGCTGACCTACCTGACCCCCCCACCCCCTCCTCCACACATGCTGTTTGTTTACATCCAGCGCCCCCAATTCTTCACCATCCAGGATACACATGACAGCCCTATAAGGTCGCCTCCGGCCTTGGGGCCCAGCCCTACAGATACCCATGGGGGCATTATCGTGCCCGGGCTGCCAGGACAGGGGAGATTCGCCCCGCCGGATGTAAACAAACGGCAGAGCCGCGGCTATGGACACACGCCTGTAGAGGGGGGGGGAGGGGGGTAAGAAGGATTCGTGCACTTACTTCACTTTAATGAATTTGCCTCAAACTGATGAATTCGATATTTTTCCAAATCAGCGAAAACCCCAAATCGCTCTGTAGATCTCGCGTCGGGTTGTTGCTGGAATCTTATTCATCAATTCTTGTGGCTCTCTATAGCACTACGTATAGGAAACGAACACTGACCAGCAGGAGGTCCAATCACCTTCAACGCTACTTTATATGAAATTCTGAAAGGGGGGAGGGGGGGGGATCACAAGCCCCCCACCTACCCCTCCCCCCTTAAGGGTGTTCCCCCCAAAGTCTGCGGATCCTGCTGCGGAGAGACACTAAGCCTTAAAGGCCGTGACACACTGCAGGCAAAGCAGCGCGGAGCGGTGGCGCGCTGCCTTTGCGAGCAGTGTGTCATGTCATTTTCTCCTGGGCACCTCAGCTGGCGAGAGCTCGCGGAGCTGGGGTGCCGAGATCAACAATTCCAACTTCAGCCAATCGGCTCGTGCGAATAAACCAGCGCGTCGGTATGCGACAGCTGGCTGGTTGTTACGGACGAGCCGATTGGCTGAAGGTGCAGTCAATCATCTGACTGCACTCAGCTCACACACTGCACGCAAAGCTCCGTGCCGGATAGCTTTGCTTCGCTCTGCACGGCTTCGCGTGTGTCACGGCCTTAATACAGATTGTGCGCGGCGTAAAAGGAAACTCTGTATTCAGCTTTTATTCTTTCGGATGTTTAATTTCATATATAATATATCTTCGTTCTTCTGCCGCCGAATCGCCAAACTTTCCTCGTTTTCCATTTTCTACGGAATTTATTCTGAGCGGGAATTGTATTTAATGACAAATATCGTATACGTATATTTTTAATTGACCGACGTTTGGCGACTTTTTTTTTGTTTTGTTCCCATTCGGAAGTTCGGCCGTGATTGCGCAAAAATCAAAAAATGTATAAAAGGAATCTGGCCGAGGTGGTGGAGATGCTCTTTTTTTTTTTACGGTCCATGCTGCCTAAAACAGGACAGAAATGGGGGAACGGTCACCCCGCTTGTTGTTTAGGACACTTTAGGATACATTTTTAGATTTTTACAGCCCCAGCTACAGCCCCGGCACAGCTACAACCCCGGCACAGCCCCAGCTACAGCCCCGGCACAGCCACAGCCCCGGCACAGCCACAGCTACAGCCCCGGCACAGCTACAGCCCCGGCACAGCCACAGCCCCGGCACAGCTACAACTCCGGCACAGCCCCAGCTACAGCCCCGGCACAGCTACAGCCTCAAGTGCCGGTCCGTACGGATGCGTGTTTCCTGGCTCAGACGTAGACAGGATCCATCCTGTCAGCGTACGAGTACGGACAGACGTGCAGGGCGAGTGAGCAAAGGGCCGCATACTCCCATAGAGAAGGACGGGGGCTGTGTACTAATCACACGCAGCGCCTGCCCCTCCCGGGAGCTGCCCGATACGGCCCTGCACGCAGCACCAAGCTGTACGTGCCGGCCAATTCCAGTGTGAATGAGGATTTACTGTCTTAAAGCACTTTGCTTGTGAATTCCAACCAGGTTCTGATTTGGTGACCTTATGGAAGTGGTGCCATTGGAGAAATGGACTTCCTTCACCGATTCATCCCCCCTCCCCCGAAACTAATACCTCTGTTCTGGGTGCCAACTGGCAAGTTGACTCGACTCATACTCAGCCCGCAGGGGTGGCAAACTCCGGCCCCCCAGCTGTGGTGAAACTACAAATCCCATGAGGCATCTGTCTCTGGGAGTCATGCCTGTGGCTGTCAGTCTTGCAATGCCTCATGGGAGTTGTAGTTTCATCACAGCTGGAGGGGCCAGAGCTTGCCTAACCTTGCTCAGCTCAACTGCCTATTACCCCTCCTGTTCCCGTCTCCGGACTTTTGATGTAGCCGTATATGGAGCTCAGCAATCCAAAGGACAGCGAAACCCGCTCAGTGAGGAAATGGTCAGGGAAGGCGGTGGGCCCCATAGAGCCAAATGAATCTGTTCGACCTTTGAACTCTGAACCGGGGCCTGTTGTAACATTCTGCATTAGTATTTGACAGCCCCCAGCTCATTAACTGCCGGAAGAAGTGGTCACCTCATTTACTAACAGGGGGATCCCTCAGCTCATTCACTTTCCAGAGCAGGCGCACGGCTTATTAAATCAACTCGTTAAGGCCCATTTCCGTACGGCGCGGTAACGCATGCACTATTTATTTGCAATTGCACCGAACGCACTAGGGCACTGCATTGCAGCTTTTGCGGCGGGTCCGTTTTGGCGCATCGGCAGCCAGTCGTTTTCAATGTTCCTTGGTGACATAACGCACGTTAATGCACCAGAAGGATATAAATGGGCCCCTAATCCCAGAGCAAGCTCGCAGCTCGTTAACTTCCACAGGCAAGGGAGCCACAGATACTCGTAACCATGGCGGCACCTCGCCTGATCTTCCCCCAGCGGATTGCAGACAGGGGCCCTGAATCCACACAGCCGTTGGCTTTCCTGTGCATGGGGGTGCAGGTTACCAAAAACGCCCGCATCATCTTTAGGAGCTGACCCCCCCCCCCAAAGGCGGCCAG